AACTTCAAATCTTGAATTCTTTACCTGGACAGCAACTTGCTTTGATCCCATTCATGGATCTTGATCTTCAATTTTCATGCTTCAGATTTTCTTTAATATTTTTCTAAAGTATAAACTGCAGTTGTTGTTTGGGGCATCCCCTAGCACTCTATTTATATGGCCAGGTCTTTTTCTTTGTTTCAATCCATCTCTACTTCTATTTTGTTATTTTTGCACATGCTGTTCCTATACTGTTATTAGTGAAATTAAGTCTAGAACTTTTACTGAAACTACCAAATGGACTTGACCGAACTTATATAAATTATGCTGCAGCAACTATATGCAATTGAGCCAATATAATTGTTGGTTTCGATTTTCTCCACTAACAACGAGAAAATGAGCTCATAAACTATATAAACATCATAGAAGCAATACAAATTAATTCCTTGCAATTTATATCTTCTTGACTTATCAGCTGTATTATCTCCATCAGATGTCAAACAACTAGATGAGGATGAAATGACATTTTGTCTTCTAAAAATATTTTACCCTCGTGGCTCGCGTTTTCTTAAATAGTTTCTTCTTTATACGATCATAGAATTATACATTATTTAACTTGATTCAAACTATTCTCTAGAGAAAGTATTGAAGTCTACTCGTTTACCTATCAAACAGGGTGACAAATTCTGAAAGTGAATACGGCTTACTACTTTGACTCCTAATGGCTCGAGTGGCTAACCCAACATTGAAGTACAGCCCGGGCGGTCGTTGACAAATTTGTTTTGTTGTTATTATTGCATCGATCAAACATTGAAAACAAATGAAAAGAGACATTGAATTTAACGACATAGCATCAAAAATATTATTTTTGGGAAGCTTAATGACAGTACATTATTTTTAGACCAAAAGAAACGAGGTTCTGCCTGCTTAAGGCTATTGAAAAGTGAAAACTCTTCCAGCATCTCACTGAATTTGGGGGACTAGAGAACCTAACATAAGGAAACTATACAAAGAGCAAATATTAGATGGACAAAGAACTTTTTGATCTCTATCAGTTGAACTTCCAAGCAGAAAGTGAAGACAGTGGAGTTCCTTTCCAACCTACAAGTAGACACTT